CAAACTCAAATACTCCCATATTTCCCCTAATAACCCACCCAGATTCAGCTACATACACAAACAATAAACCCTAAACCCTAAACCCTAAACCCTCAAAAAAAAAATTTCTTATAAACCTTCACCGAACTCAAATACTCCCATATCTTCTCCAGTAAACCATCCAGGTTTAGTTAAAAACCCTAAACCCTAAACCCTAAACCCTAAACCCTAATGTATTTTTATTTATTTTATTAAAAACATAAATAAAAGGTAAATATAAAACCAAACAAAACCAAATAAACAAACAAATAAAAACAAAGAAAAAAAGCAAATAAACAAACAAAAACAAACAAAAACACATAAACAAAAATATAAAATAAAAACAAATAAAATAAAATAAAAATAAAATAAATAAATAAATAAATAAATAAATAAATACCCCTAGTTAAGCGGAGATGGGAACGTAGTGTGGCGCCTGTACGAGTATATCTATTTTTTATAAAAAAAGAAATAAATACAATAAACAAAAGCAAAAAAAAACGAAACAAACGCAAAACAAAAGCAAATAAAACGAAACAAAAAAAGCAAAACAAATAAAAACAAATAAAATAAAAATAAAAGTATAATTACCGCTAGGATAGCGGAGATAGGAACATAATGTGGTGCCTGTACGAGTATATCTATTTTTTATAAAAAAAAGATAAAAAAGGCAAAAAAAACCGAAAAAAACCCAAACCAAACCAAACCAAAGCCAAATAACTAAATAAAAACAAATAAAAACAAATAAAATAAAAATAAAAGTATAATTACCTCTAGATTAGCGGAGATAGGAACATAATGTGGTGCCTGTACAAGTATATCTATTTTTTATAAAAAAAAAGATAAATACAATAAACAAAAGCAACAAAGACGAAAAAAAAGCAAAACAAAAGCAAATAAAACGAAACAAAAACGAACAAAATAAAAATAAACAAATAAAATAAAAATAAAAGTATAATTACCTCTAGATTAGCGGAGATAGGAACATAATGTGGTGCCTGTACAAGTATATCTAATTCTTCAATAGTAATTTGATCTATTTTATTCAGAACAAAAATACAAGGAAGATATAATCTATTTCCTTCTATAGCATCAATCAATTCATCTATTGTTGGATCGCAACGTATAAATAACTGGCAGTTTAGTAATCTATATTCTGTACATATAGAACGAATGGTTGCTTCGTCGAGATGGGTTAGTGGTGTTGTACTTGTTATCGTTATTCCACCTAAAAAAACAAAAAAAAAAAAGAAACAGATTCGTGCTGGTGGTTCTGGTTTTTTTTTTTTTTTTTTTTTTTTTTTTTTT